GATATTTTAAAAAGTATTATATTATGCCAATTATACTACTTCTACAGACTTGAGTTTCAAGTGAAAATCTCTGTCAAGGACATACATAGTTTAAGGATCAGAATAGCCCAGAGAATTGTTAATAAAGCTCTGTCTTTCCAATATATTTTTTTGAATTTCTTTGCTCTACTGACATGAAAATATGGATATAAAACATGACGGACCTAAAACAATGGACAATTCTAGCCACGTCCAAGCCACAGTCCTTGACTTCTTCTCAGACGTTGACTCCTGGCTCCTGTTACTGCCCACCACTCCTGGTGATGCCTAACGTCTGGACTAGGCAGCGTCTCTGGGAGCTTCATTAATTTCCGGTGAAACCCAAGCAGCCCCTTTCCAAGTCTTCCCTCGCACGCCTTCATTCAAGCAGCTATTTTTCCTTTCTGAAGTGGCTTCCCCGTGATTCTGCACCTTCCTGTCCTCCACCGGCGTGTAGTCCTTTCTCCACCTTGTCTGTACTCTCCCAACGCTCAAGACTTGTGTCCCTGCTGCTGTCTATCCTATACATACCTGTGGGGTAATAGTAATAAGTGACATTTAACAAAACACTGGCCTTGTACCAGATACTGTCCCACGCACTTGAAAGAGATGAACTCATTTAATCCTCACAAGAACCCTAAGAAGTAGGTACTATTGTTATTACTCCTACTTTACGGTGGAAGAAACTGAGGTTTATGTTATTTGCCCAGAGTCACAAAATTGGTAAGCGGCTGACTCAGGACTTGAAAGCAGTCCAGCTCTCACAACTGCACTCATCACCACTAGCCTACGCTGTAGTGCACTCTTATAGCACATCTACTGCACTGTCTTTTCGAGCCCCATGAAACGTTTTCGTCTTATGACTCCATCTTAGAACACCTGCAATGGCTCCCTACCACAAACTATGTCATATCTGAGTTTCCACGCAGTTTTTAGGACTGCAACTCGCTACCTCTCTCTGACCTTCCTCATCCACCTCACTTCTTAAACCCTCTCCCTCGCCCCCAACACATCCATACCTGTTCATTCCATTTCAGCTCAACTCACCTCTCAGGTGATTTGCTCTTTTTTTCCACTCTGTGCCTTTCCACATGTAAATCTTTAAACTAAACTGATTTACAACAATTGTCTTCTTCAGTACCTGACTCCGCTAAACATTTTGGGTTTAGAATCAGGAAAACAAATTCAAGTACAATTTCTGCTGTTTTTGCTCTGTAGGTTTGAACAGCTTACTTAACTTTTCTGCCCTTCAATTACCTCTTAGGTAAAGAGAAGTTAATAACAGTACTTTATTGGGTTATTGCAAGATTAAGTCATTTGTGTGCTTAAAAGGCTTGTGCAGTGCCTGAACCACCCCAAACACTCAACAAGTGCTATGTGTAAGTAATGATACCCCCTTCTCAATCTATTCTTGCCCTTTCTTGGCATTCTTCAGCACTCATGTATGTAGCTACATTTTTTTATTCTCTATTACTTTCAATAGAGTAATAGAGAAAAAAGGCAATACCTAAATAATAAAGAAAATGATAAAAGTACAATACCATTTCACACCTTTATTACCGTGTAAATATAATCATCTCCAAAGAGGTTATTTCTCTTGACGTCCTTTAACTAATGCTCAACTTGGGTGTAATGGTGATCAGATGATAACAAATTGACTTAATTTAAAACTAAGTCATGTAACCATGTGTCAATCATGGCAAATGGAAGCCTGAATTTTACTCCTCCCTGAACCTTTCTCTGTCTACACTAGCCAGAAGTGATTTCTACCCCTCCCCAACCCTACTGCTCATTATATATACCTCTCATTTAATATTTATTATTAATGTTTTATATGATTACAAATTTCTTTTTATATTTTAATAGTGCAGCAACTTACACAAAATAAAGACTCGATAAATGTTGTTGAAAATATGAGGTGTTGAAAGTCTCATATCAGAGACAGCTATATAGAAGTTAGACTAGTAGGCTAACTGCCTAACTAATCATTAGGTGCTTCAAAAGTTCTATAGCCTCTATCAGACTTAAAACTCCTTTAGAGAATTATCCCTCTGTCACTGTCCTCTACTAAAATAAAGCCACCATAATATTACAAGAATAATTTTTTAATAAATTACAGAATTAATGGGAGAGAGGACAAAGGAGTGAGATCAAGGGAAAGATCGGAATGAAGTGGGGCTCAGGAGGGTTTGAATTCCAGCTTCATCCCTTATCAGCTGAGTGGTTATGGGCAGGTTACCCAGCCTCTCAAAACTTTGATTTCTGCATCATTAAAATGTAGACAATAACAGAATCCACCTAGGGTTTTAGTAAGAAGTAAATGAGGTAAGACTTGAAACGTGTTTGGTATTGAGTAAATAGTATTATACCCAGCTAGCCTAATAGAGATGATCAATGGGATACCAACATAGGAGTAAAAATCAAGAACTTGAGTAAAAGTGTAATGACTGGAAAGGGCTAGTGATACGTTGAAAGTAAATAATGACATGGAAATAATTATAATAAAATAAAGCTAAAAACATAAAAATTATCTTGAATAAATTCAACTTTAAAGGCAGCAACTAACCAAAGAGCCATTCATTGCCGATATCACAATGGGTTAATATGCTTAATACACAAAGAGCTCCTATAAATGGATAAGGAAATTCAAAAGCCCAAATAGAACTGGGCAAAAGACACAAACACACAAAAAAATAAAACACAAAAAAGGCCATAGTGGGGTCAGCCCAGTGCCATAGTGGTTAAGTTCCAGCGCTCAGCTTCAGTGGCCCGGGACTCCCAGGTGCAGATCCCGGGTGTGGACTTATGCACCACTTATCAAGCCATGCTGTGGCAGGTGTCCCACATATAAAGCAGAGGAAGATGGGCACGGATGTTAGCCCAGGGCCTGTCTTCCTTAGCAAAAAGAGAAGGATTGGCACCAGATGTTAGCTCAAGGCTAATTGTCCTAACCAAAAAAAAAAAAAAAAGGCCATAGTACACAGGGGAACAAAGAAGTACACAGTGAAATGTTCACGATAACTACAAAGAAATGCAGATTCAAACAGCAAAGACATTTCGAATAATGACACTATCAAGGTTCGCAAGAGTTAAATAAAATAGGTGGGAGGTGAAAATTATTAAAATGAATAGGGAAACAATGTGGCAATATATACCTTAAATATGTTTGACTTATTAATTCAATTTTAGGAAATCTGTCCTAAGGAAATAAGCCAAAGTACAGAAAAAAAATTCAGGCACAAGGATGTTCGTTGCTGCTTTATTTGATAACAGTGAAAAACAAGAAGTGA